TATAATATTAAAAATTTGAATTTGATATATTGTTATGAGATTGAATCTGGAAACAGGTCTTGAAGATTGAATTGCATTATGGAACGAAATCGTAAATTATGGTTCAAATTTAAAAAATAATGTTAATGAAACAGGTTTCATGAAGGTGAAACTGGTTCACGTTGTAATTGATTCATGAGTAATATGAAATCGTTTCATGATTAACTACGTTTCAATGATGGTGTAGTTGATCCGTTTAGTAGAAAAAATGGAAAATGAAACGGGTGCATAATTTGTTGGTGCGTCATGAAATAATTGCATGATGAAACAGGTACATGATGAATCTGTTTCGGGCTCTTGAAGATTGTAATTTGCTCCAGAATCTTGAAGATTGTAAGGATTAACGGAAAAAATGCATCAAATCATGAGTAAAATAAAAAAAAATTAATTTACATGAAACATGTTTCATGAAGTAATTGATTCATGAGTAATATGAAATCATTTCATGGTGAACCATGTTTCAGTGATGGTGTAGTTGATCTGTTTAATAGAAAAAATGGAACATATTTTTTTGGTTCGTCATGAAATAATTGTACGATAAAACGGGTACATGATGAATCTGCTTCGGGATCTTGAAGATTGTAAGGAGTAAAGGAAAGAATGCATCAAATCATGAGTGAAATAAAAAAACTAATTTACATGAAACAGGTTTCATGAAGGTGAAACAGGTTTCATGAAGGTGAAACTGGTTCATGGCGTAATTAAACAATTAGTGGTGAACTGCTTTCATGGTGAAACATGTTTCAGTGATGGTGTAGGTGATCCATTCAGTAGATGAAATGAAAAATGAAACGGGTGCATAATGTAGGCGGTTCGCCATAAAATAATTACAAGATGAAAAATAAATTAGTTTCATTAATAATAATAAATGTTAACGTGAAAATAATAAATTACTTTACAAAAAATAGATTAGTTTCATTAATAATATGATATACATGATATGGTTTCCTTAAATAAATGAATATTTGATTTTACCCTTTTGTCCTTATCCGTATTATAAAATGTATTTTCAATTTTTTTTTATTTTCCTTAAATAATCTTGATTAATCTTAACCATTGATAAATAAAATGGATGGGTGAGATTGGTTTACACGGTTTACATAAATGGAGGCGGTTTTTATTTGATCGCTCATCTCTCTCTCTCTCTCTCTCTCTCTCTCTCTCTATATATATATATATAGAGGGGTCCATTCAAGGGAGAACTGATTAGTTTGTGGTAACTGTGAGATCCAATCTCAATCACAAATCAACAGATTAATTAGAAAATTAATAATTATGGTAGTTTGCGTTAAAATTATAATTAGAGGGCATTTTATGTATTTTTTAAAAACTCATCTCTCGTCTCTCATCTCTCCGATCTCCAATCTCCGGCCTCCGGTGAACATTAATCCGGCAGATACCAAGTAATCACAAAAATATACAATGTGATACTCATTGTGATACCAACTCAAACCTTAAAAACAAAGATACACAATGTGATACCCATTGTGATATACAGTGATACCGATTTCACCGGAGGCCAGAGATTGGAGGTCGGAGAGAAGAGAGAGGAGAGATGAGTTTTTTTTTAATACCTAATATGCCCTCTAATTATAATTTTAATTCAAACTACCATAATTATTAATTTTCTAATTTATTCGTTGATTTGTGGTTGTGATTGGACCTCACTGTTACCACAAAATATTCAGTTCTCATTTGATTAGGCCCCTATATATATATATATATATATATATATATATATATATATATCATGTCAAGGTTACGTTATATTATGTGAATATTGCATTTTTCTCACTTCTCACATAAATGAAATATAGTTTTATCAAGTCGCATTACCTTACCGAATCAATATGACTAGGACTAAGAATCTTACCCGGTAAGAGCGAAGGTAAGGACTGAGAATCTTACCCGGTAAGTAACGACGACGACAACTGTTATCATGGTTAGCACTTAACAGGTTAATTGTTACATACGACATCGTTTTGGTGAACTAAAATCTTACCCGATAAGTAACTGATAGTTTTAAAATTTTCCGATAAACACTTTAGCTCGGTAAATACCTTACATTGTGGGTTGGGTTGGG